AGCTATAGCATTGTTTTCTTTAGAATTAGCATATTGTATTTTCACATTATGACTGAGTAATAAACTCTTACAATCCCTTATATATTCCGTTCTCCTATCTGAAATAAAACAACTGGGCCAAGAAATTAGTTCATTAGGATCATTATAAATTTTTTGAATTGCTTTAGCCATTTGTGCTGAAGATTTATCAGTCAGTGCAAAACTACGTCGGTATCTAGTTGCAACATCTTTGATAACACCTCTATACTTATAAATCCGATTACCAACTTTATCATGAAGCATAGGTGTAGTATCAGATTGGTGCACTTCATTTAAAAAATGTATATTGTTAAAAGAAGCATACTGAATAAATTTAGGCCAAGGCTTATGAATCTGATGTAAAGCCTGACAGTCTAACCATTTTTTTATTTCAGCTGAAGTAAACTCATATCCAGCTTTCTTGCAAGCATACGCATTTTTTCAACAGTTCGATAATAGCCCTCAGGTCGGTAATAGAGCTTCTGCAAAGTAAGATCCTGGTCAAGATCGTGTACTCTCTGAGGATCGATATAAATAACTGGTTCCTCCATTCCGATTCTCTTTTATAGATTTAGCAATTTCTTAACTGCCTTCTCGCAATTCTTGCTCGAAGCCAGAAAATTAAGATATCTTTTAAATCTGTAAAAAATTATGGTAAATAAAAAATGGAGGAATTACAACAAAGTAATCAAGAACTCCACGAGGTAGTATCGCAATTAGCAGAATCAAATAGAAATTTCGAACAACAACTATATACCTTAGAAAGAATTATTGGTATACGGGAAGAAAGAATAAGATTTCTTGAAGAAGAGTTAAATAACACAATCGAAGTTTCTACAGAAGAGAAAGAGGATTTAAAAAAAGAAATCTCAAAACTAAAAAGAATTGTTCACCAACTTGAGGAAGAAAATAAAAAGAAAGACAAATAAGGATAGATTAATATTAGAATTCGATGAGCGTGAAACAAAATTAAAAACCAGAATACGAGAAATATCTAAATCAGCTGGAAACACACCTAAAGCACAAGATTATACAACAAGATTAGTAGATGAAAATGAATAGCTTAAACGAAAAATAAATACAATAAAAACCAATCAAATAAATAGGATTAGCAAAATAAATCAGCAAAAAAATCGTATTACAAACCTACTTTGTCAAAATTTTGCATTAACATTATTGAGGTATAGAGATAGGTTAGAACTTATAAATACTAGAGAGGCTTTACAAAATGCAGAAGCACAGAATTTTAATGAAAACGAATCTGACCCTGATGAAAATTCTTTAGATATTTATAATTTTGATCAAAATTTAGATATAGGTACGATAGCTGAATTGGCCAATGCTATAGACCGATCCCTAGATGATACAACAATATGTAGAACTATTTTAAGAAATCAAATTAAAAGATCAACAAGGGCAATTCGCCGAAAATATACTAATTTACAACAAGATCTGGTAAACGAACGATGGGGCCGTGATATGTACATGCAGGAGCACGATCAAGTGGTACAGGAGCGTAATCAGTTACGGACCAATGCTCAGAATCAAGTAAACAGAATGATAAATAATATAGCAAGAAAGCAAATCCGTATTGGTGAATTGCTATGTGAAAATTTTGTTTTCCAGTTATTGTATCATCGAAATACCCTCCACCTATAATGATATAGAGCTGATAAAGGTTTGCTAGAATATAATCAAGATAGGTTATATGAACGATATAAGAAGTAGAAAAATAAGACTCATGCAGAGCACCAGAATATTTTAATTTTAAATCAACAAATTTTTGCACTACAGAATAACCTACCTAATCAAATAAATATAGCTGAGGCTAGACGTTTACCAGTATTAAAATTAATGGCTCCTGCTCTTGCAAAATTTCAACCCTATATAGATCAAGAACCACCTGATGAATACTTGGATAAGGTTATTCAGTCATGGGCATATCTTGAAGGGTATATGACAGTTCTTGAAAATGCAAATGCAGGAGATTTTAATGATGCAGTCAAGTGTAATATTTTAAAGTCTATGATGGGCAGAAAATACGCTCCAGTACTGGCAAATAATGGTCTTGTAATAGGAAATCCAGCTATAAATACTCCAGATACATTACGAGGTTGGTTAAGAGCAAAATACCAACAGGAGACAGTTGGAAATCAGCAATCGGCTATACAAAAATTGACTCAAGAAAAATACCAACCTTATAATACTCCAGATACTTATGAAGCTAGAGTTCGGCCACTATTATTAGGAGTGGCAGACAACGATATGCAAGTTATAGGATTCCTTAAAAGCCACTTAACGGTGATTTTTACACTTGGATAAGAATAGCTAATCCAGCAGATATTAATGCATTTTTTACCGAGCTAAAAAATATGTAGCTAGAGCATAAACAAAATTTGAGTGGAAGGATCCCAAAGGAATTAAATCAAATTCCCAATCAAATGCAAGCCTTACCTAGTATAAATCCAGTATCCTATTCTTTACCACTAGTTGCCTCAGCTTCTCAACCAGCTTTTACTAAAGACAATATACAAAAGGCGATTCAAGAAGCATTAGCACAGCAAAAAACTAAATACCAATCTTTATTAGAAAAGTAAAAAGCCGATTTCCAATCACAAATGACCCAGCAAGCAGTTGCTCAAAAAGCACAAGCACCAGCTTCACAAACTGTCGAACCAGTTAGACAGCCAAGAGGTCCTCCACCATCATTGCAATCGGAAAAAGATCTCCAGAATTATTATGTATCTAAATTCTTAAATAAAATAGATTTAATAACTAAGAATGAATTAGATTCAGATTATTCTATAAAACCTTTTCAAAGACCTCGCTCTCAACAAAACCAATCTATGAGAATGGATAGAATAGAATCGAAAGTAGATGAAATCGGTCAAATGACATCTCAATTCGGGAGGATGATGCTCGATAATCAATCCAAAAAACTTGTAGCTAAATCAAATTTTACACGTTACTATCCCCAACTTCCATCTACACAGTCCCAATACACACCTCTAGCTTCAAATAATAAGGAAAATAATAATGGTAGTTATGATGAAGAAAATAATAAATGGACCGGGTATTATCCACCAGAAAAAAAAAAACAGATACTAGCAGAATACAGCCAGCCCGAAACGTATGATGAGCTGTTGCCAAAACTTTCACCGGCAATGCGTAAAATGTGTCAGTCTCATATAGTTCAGAAGAAAGAATCAAAATTAGATGAGTGGTTTTCATCATTGCAATACTTGCATTGTAATATAAATGATCTATTGACTACTAGTTCTTTTTTAAATAGCGCGAGTGAAATTGGAGGGGTGAATGATGCAACAATTAACGCCCTGGGGTGAAAGCTGATAAACCTTCTGACTTTGCTATAAAGAATAATTCCAAACATATATCCAAATCATTGGGATGGTATACAGATGTGCCAATTAGTGTAAAGGACAAGGATGGTAAGATTGTTACAGCTACTGGAAATTTTGCTCATATTAATAATGGTGAAACCAAACCAATGTTATGTTTAGGTATGACATGGATTCGAAAAGTTCAAGGTATTCTTGATCTGAATAAAAATCAATTCCGAATGAAGTTACATGGAAAGATTTACACTATCCCAACATTTAGCAAGGCCCCAGTAGCTAAGGATCCACCAAAAGAGAAGCAGATTCTAGAGGGTCTGCGTGATTCAATCCAAGTATCTACCGATTCCTCCAGCCTGACTAGTGAGGATGATTTAAAAAAAAGTGCAAAGAGCTTGAAAAGCATCTCTTAAAAACTGAGGGATGGCTTGACTTAGCATTAAATGCAAGTAAAATTTTAGTTGAAAGATACTCTAAGCTTATGGAGAAAAGATTAGATACGTAACAATATTTCTAGTAATATTTAATAATTTATTAAGATCAGATTCCCGTCTTGATGTATCATATTTGGAAGAATTGATTATTCTATTTTTTTCCACTGGAGAAGATTCGTCTTTTGCCTTTGTACTAGCCTTTTTTTTCGACTAACCTTATCTTTTCGTTCGCTAGTTACTGTATTCAGCCTTATATGGGAATTTGCACTATTTTCATCATCTCTAGGGTGCTCTGTATGAACGACCTCATCTTCTTGTATGTTAGTAGAGGAAGTATCATGCTCAGCACTTACCAGCTATAAAGATTCTTGGTTATTTTCTGAAATCCGATCAGAGATGCTAACAGATTCTAAGATTCTACACCACTCCTCAGTTGGTTCAGGAGGCCTCTGATTATCAATGATTTTTTGATATATCGTTGCTCTATATGATGTTTTTTACACATAATACGTCGAGCATCTGGAATATTATTCTGAGCATTTCTGATTTCTTCAATGGCTTCGGGTGACAAGTGGGTGGCATCTGATCTAAGAAATTTACGAGTACGAGTTGATAATTTTTTACTCATAATTTGTTAATAATAAATTTGTAAGATACCAATAAAAAACTTGTAAAAAATTTATTCGCAATATATTTGGTCTTGGTATGAAATTGGTCTGATATTAGTTTGATATATATAGGAAATTCGCTTTCCTTATCACGTAGCTTGCTATAACCATGATCCAATAAAGAATAGGTTTAAGATGTATATAGTTTAAATATTAAACTGGTTTATTATTGGTTTGTTATTGGTTTGATTCTGGTTCTTTTTACCAAAAAATTTCCAAGAAAAAAAATATCTACCTTCAAGTAAAATTATATGGCAAATATGTATATGCTGAATGAAATAAATGGCGGGGTAGCTCTGTCTGGCAATAAACTTGGAGATTCGGCATCTAATCGATATCCGCCTGGCCGAACAGAGCTTGAAAACCAACTTACTTGTACAAAGCATGACCTAGATATTGCTTTGAGCTCGGGTATTCAGCTTGGTAATAGATGCAATCTCTTGATAAAAAATAATGAGAGCTTTTCAGAGCGTGTATATTAGCTTGAAGACAAAGTGAGAGAACTCAGAAATCAGATCACTCACAAAGATATTTTCTTTGATAATATCAAAGGTGAGATTGCTACAAAATTGGAAGAGATACAGGCTCTTCAATCAAGAGTAGAAGAATTAGAGCAGGGTGTTTCTTTAGCACAGAAGGAGTTAACAGAAATGGATTCTTTCAAACGTAAATTAGAACTGGAAAATGCAGAACTATCTACTAAAAATATTTACCTAGATCTAGAGAAAAAAAGATTTAGAAGATATATTAGCTAAAAAAAAGGATGAATTAGCGCAGATGAAAGATAATTTAGTTACAACTCAAAGAGCATTGATAGAGAAAGACACACTCCTTCAAGAAGCAGTCCTAAATAAAGCTCATTTAGCCGAACAGATCCCAAAAACATTCAGCGAGTCTGAAGTGGCTGGAGGGGTCTTAGAGGGACCAGGTGTTAGTGAACAGGAGAAAGGTAACGATAATGCTAGCCCTGAAACCAACTGGGGTCTCTATAGAGATCGCTCTTCAGTAGCACCTATCAGTAATAAGAAATTTGATACTTACTTTTTTCAGTTTGCGATCTTTCTTATAATACTATTACTAATCATATACTTCCTGTGGTCCATATTCACTCATCTATATTCTTTTATATCACCCCTTAATGAAGAAAAAATTTTTCAAAAATATATAACTCCTTTTAATAAAAATCAGAGATACGAAATTCCAACCCACTATGCAAAAGAATTCGAAGACAAAAATACCTCTTATGAAACTTCGTCTTTTGGATATGGATGAAGTCACAAAACATGAATCATCCCGAAATATTGGCCATCCGGCGATGATATGGCCTTTTAGCATGTTAATTACTGAGAAAAGTGGTACAGGTAAAACTAATCTACTTGTGAATTTTGTTCTTGGTGATAAGGATGAATATGTGCAAAGAGGGAAAAAAGGTGGGTCTCGCTACATTAAATGTGATGATCTAATTGTTTGTGGGTATCATCCTGATGAGCCAAAATGGAAATATGTGAGATACATATATAATATGATTTCAAAAGACTCAAGAGCGCCTTACTATGAGGATATTAGTTTCAGTTACATTCCTCTCAAAAAAATTCCTAGTACAAGAACTTTTTCGCCTGAAAGAAGCAAATTAATTATTATTGAGGATCTATGTTTAGCTTCAGAGCATATACAAAATCGAATTGGTTAGTTTTTTGGGAATGGACGTCACCGAAATATTTCATGTATATATGTAACGCAAAAATATCATAAAGTCGATACATTTATTTGCGAAAACTCAACTCATTTAGTATTATTTAACTCTGGTAGCAGTATTCAAGACGTGTCTAAGATTGTTGGACGATATACTAATGATGTAAAGGGTGCATCCATGGTTATTAATAGCTACCTCCGCAAAGGTGAGTTTGTTGTATTTGATCTCAGTAGGCCGGAGGATGATCCTCTTGCCATTCGACTAAGGTTTGACACACCATTGAACCTGCAGAAAGAAATAGAGGCAAGGCAGAAGCGGAAGAAAAAAATGCCTCAGCCAATTTATAAAACTTTTTATTGCGCTCTCGCAAGCTCAGAGATGCAGAAATTGATTACCTTTGAAACATCTATAACTGATAGTAGTTTGCATGCAATGTGTACGAAGAAAAGGCATCCAAGTAGATAGACTTAATTAAATATATTTATTCGTTATATACTGTAGTCCGTTTACCATTTTCCTAATACTATTTTTGAGATCACAATACTACCTTCTCACAATACTTGCTCGAAGCCAGAAAAATATTGTACAAAAGAAGTACACATACCCCTGCTGACAATGAACCAACAAAGTGCAGTGAATTGGCGGTGTTGATATAAAATAAAAATCTATGAAGTGTATATTAACAATTACTTACATTTTTTTCGTTTTCAGCTATATACAAATTTGAATCAT